AGATCTCACATTGGTTAAGAGGAGAACAAATAATTTTTTATAAGCATGTGGAAACCTCTCCCTAGCAAATGCGCTTTAAGACCATGAGGCTGACAACGATACGTAACGGGCCAAAGCGGACAATATCTACTAGCAGTGGGCTTGGGTTGTTATAAAGCATTAAACTAGCATTAATGGAGTAGTGACTTCGGCCTAAACCAACCAATTAAGTGGCTCTACTATTGGCTTAGTTGGATGAATTGTATTATGTATGATGATGCGTGTCCCATGACCCTTGCACGTGTCCCATGACCCTTGCACGTGTCATATATATACATGATATGTTAAAATATGTTATGTTGCTCGATGTTATACTATGTTATATTATGCCCTGCTATGTTATGTCGTGTTATGACACGTTATGCAACGATAAGTTATGTCATGATAAAGTTATGTTATTTTGTAGTTATATCATATTGTATAAAGTTGTTATAGAATCGATAATCTATGATGCATAAATTTACGAACAAAAAAAATTATGATTAGATTCATTATTTAATAAGAGTTATTTGGGTTGAAAAAATTACAATCCGAACAATTAAATTATAAAGTTATTGTGTAGGGTTCAAATAATTAAAAATTTTATTGAATTTCTCTAAAATTATATTGAGCTGAAACCGAACCACTTGAATTTAAAAATTTTCTTTTACAATACAATTCTATCCACTTATATTTTTTTTTATTATTTATTCTCCGACTATTCTTTAAAACAAACTTTAATTATTGAAAGAGACGCCAACACTCTGGATCTCGAAAGATATGAAAGATCTCCCTCCAAGCTGTACATACGACTTCCATCGAATACAACTTTCCACAGAATGCTATATGTATCTATGAAATCGAGTATGGAATTCTGTCTACTCGTCAGAAAGTTCGGACACCCACCTAGCACCCACTTCACTTACACAATTAGTATAGTGGGGAGCTGCCCGCCTGCCTGAAAGAGCTAAAAGCACACCTCTCCTTCACTTGAACCTCTATTCCCTGACCCTCCTCTCCCTCTCGGTCGAGTTGCTTCGCTCCTCTCTGTCTTAGCCAAGCTAGCTTTGTTTTATTCCCTAATTGAACTCGGGTTTCACTGTTCTTTCACGAGGGAGTCCTTGAGTTTCCAAAATAGTGTAAAAAGAGGTGGTTCGAATCATTACTATTTGACTCGTATAATTCAATAATAATTATCACGCATCTTTTCTCTTCAAATTAAAAAAATTTGAATTTACAACCAAACTCCATTTAAAAATTAATTAAATTATAATGACCCATACAACTACCATTGTTGTTAATATGATCAAAATCTCGACTTTTACAAGCTTCACGTAAGTCGTTCGTTATAATGTCAAAGTTTGAATATAATAATTTTTGGATATGGGTTGATGAGTAACGCCGAGCATTTGTTTGACGGGTTGATATATGCAAGAATCAAGCTCGACTCGGTCACCTTTGCAAGTTTCTTCCATGTGTTATTGACTTACTTAGTCTCAGACGATAACAACTCAAAACCACCGCTAGTAGATATTGTTTAGATTTTTAAAACGTGTCTGCTAGAGAGAGGTTTACGCACTCTTGTAAAAAAATACTTCGTTTCTCTCCATTAGATGTGGGATCTCACAATTTACTCCTTTCGGGGCCTGGTGTCCTCGTTGGCGGTACTAATATAATTTTAGAAAAATTCATGAATCAACCAAATCTATAAATTTTCATTTATTTGAACTCATCAGAAATAATTATAACCTAATTGTTCGAGTTGGTCCATGGCGTTTGGGGTCATTTATTCAATTTTTTATAATAAAATTAAAATGTTAGTTCGTAAATATTTATTTATTTATTTGAAAATAAATAAAAATTTAAATATATATTTTGAAAAAATTACCTTTCAAATAATTAAATAAATGGAGTGATCCAACCCAAATTCCCTACCATTGCCCTTTTAAACAAACTAATAAGGACGAAATTCAGGCCCATTTTCGGAATTTACATACTTGGGCCACCCATACAAATGGGGCCCATTATAAGATCACCGACATAAATTAAATAACCACGTGGGAATCACGTGCTTTAATTCAATTTTCTCACCATACTTAATACTTTTGCAATATTTTTTTTTATACCGACAATAGTAGGATCTCTACGATAGTATGATATTGTCCCGTGTGAGTATAACCTCTCATGGCTTTGCTTTGGGCTTCCCAAAAAGTCTCGGTATACATGTTGATGTATTCTTTACTTATAAACCCATGATCATTCCCTAAATTAACCAATGTGGGACTCCGTCCCAACGATCTTCAACACAGACGCGTACACTACTAGGCATGAGAACGACTATTATGTTTTACATAATGCTTCCATGATGACTACTACTTCTAGCAGGTGTCCACCATATAGAGATCCCAGAATATGCTCGCCTGACAAAGAAAAAGGTCCAGCGGTATGCGAACTGACTGGTGGGTCCATACTCACACGTATGGGGCATGTGTAGGAAATGAATTACACATCCAAGCTACCCATTAGGATAGTACGGTAGGAAAATATATTGTTAAAATAGACCCCATCATTGCATTTGCATGTTCTTACATTATAACCCCAATAAGGGTCTCTTACTGAGTATTTTTAAACTACTCAAGTCTTGTGCTACTACATTTTTCAAGACAATGCGCCCCTGTAAAGCTGACGGAGACATCGCAACCCTAAGACTGTGACACATGTGAAGGATAGACTATCAGTGTGCGAATTGACTGATGAGTCCATACTCACACGTGTGAGCCATGTGTAGGAAATGAATTACACATCCAAGTTATCCATTAGGATAGTACTGTAGGAAAATAAACTGTTACGAAAGATCCCATCATTGTATTCGCATGTTCTTACATTATAACCCCATTAAGGGGGTCGCTTACTGAGTATTTTTAAACTACTCAAGTCTCGTGTTACTGCATTTTTCAAGACAATGCACCCTGTAAGGCCGACGGAGGCATCGTAACCCCTAAACCGTGGCACATGTATAGGATAGATTTGCATTTTATTTAATAGTATAAGTCAGTATAGGTTGAGTTTTATTTTTTTATTTATTGTAAGATCTATAATTAATTTATTTAATACTAATTTTGTAATTTATTTAAAAGTAAAAAAAGGGAACAAATTCCCTTCCCTTCCCTTCAAAGCAAGGAACCCCATATTCATCACTCTTCCAAACCCTTTTCCCCCATTTCTCCATTAATGCCTTCTTCATCATCTTCTTCTTCATTTTCTTTCTGAAACTCAAAATTTTCTCGCCCATTTTCTCACCCATTTTCTCGGGAAAATGAGTCTCAAGCTTCTCACAATCTCCTTCCTTCTAACATCCACTCTCCTCTCTTTTTTCTTCATCCAAACAAAATTAACCAAACCCATCGCCGCCATTACTCCCCCAATCAACTCCCTATACTCCCCCAAATCAAATCTCTCCTATCCAGTCTCCTTTGCATACCTGATCTCCGCCTCCGACGGCGATGCCAGGCGCCTCAAACGCCTCTTGTCTGCCATCTACCACCCCGGAAACCACTACCTCATCCACATGGATCAGGGCGCCTCCGCCTCACACCACCGCGAGATCGCCGAGTTTCTGACTCAGAATCCCGTTTTCCGACGAGTGGGGAATGTTTGGATGGTCGGAAAACCTAACTTGGTCACTTACAGAGGACCCACCATGCTTGCTACCACTCTGCATTCCATGGCGATTCTTTTGAGAACTTGCAAATGGGATTGGTTCATCAATTTGAGCGCCTCTGACTATCCCCTGCTTACTCAAGATGGTATGGTGAGTGAAATTTGATGTGGTTTTTGGTCGATTTCTTTATTGGGTTTCGTTGGAATTGGATGATTCGTTCATTTATAAATTCATTGATGTTGTTTTCGTTGGATTTCCTTTCTGGGTTTTGTTGGAATTGGATGATTTGTTCATATAAATTCATTGATGGGTTTTCAGATCTGATTGATGCCTTCTCTGATTTGCCGAGAGATCTGAATTTCATTCAACATTCAAG